GTTAGCTCAATGGGTAGAGCTGGCGCCCCATGTAGTGCTGCAGCGGCCCAGAGTTCGACTCCGAAAATTAACCCTAAATAATAAGAAATAACTTTTCAAATTATCAGTCTGAGAATATGTCTCACATCCTTCTGTATCTATCTGTCTGTCAGAGAAGAGCCAGCAGGAGGCACTCGAGTATTTCACCAAACAGATGAACGACGCCCATCATGGAGGCTGGAGCACCAAGATGGACTGGATCTTCCACACCATCAGACACATGCCCAACGAACACTGACACACACACACACACACATAAATACATATACATATATACATATATTTATATATATCACACATGTATAAATATTTATGTGTGTATATATATATAACACACCATCAGACACATGCCCAACGAACACTGACACACACATTATATAAAACACATTTATAACACACACACTTTTATTGCACTACTGTGACGATGGCAATGATGAAGGAGTCAGATTATTGTACATTTTAGCATCACAGCGTCGTATTGATGGGATGGTTGTCATAGTAACATTAATCTCAGGGTCACAGGTCAGAGGTTGGAAAGACGATGATGATAATGATGATGATGTCTTCCAGTCAGAGCTTCAGTTAGCCTGTTAGCTCTGCTAGCTAGCTGCTGATACAGATGGAGCTTTTTAAAATAAACTTTATTACTGTAGCGTACATTCAAATCAAACTTTATTGAGAAGCACTGAATTTGAATGACACTAGCTTTATTGAAACCAGCAGAGAGAACACTGTGGTCACTGTGAGAGCAATAAAACCTCCAATAACTGATCAATACTTTGATTATGACAATCAGGAGCTCTGGTCAATAGGAAGCTGACCAGCTGTGGGCGGAGTCATAGTGCTGAGATCAGAACAAACTAACAATCTTTAAATATTAGTTATTTTATTTATTACGTTATTACGTTTACTTGTAAAATGATTGCTTTATATTTCAAACACAATGGTTTTTCACAGATGTTCTTGTAAACTTCTGGCTTTAAAGGTCTGAGCTCTAGTCTTCTTTACGTTGGAACTCCACTGAGTAACGAGCTCTCTGTACCGAGTGCTGTAAACTCATTTATACTGAAACTGCACAGATTGTAGTCGACTGATATTTTTCTCTTTCTTATAAATGTTAGATGATGTCCACAGCTGCTGACAGACTCCAGAGGTTTCTGATCTTATTTCTTTTGAATCAACATATCGAGTGTTATCAGGGATCTTTCCACGACAATCTGAACCAATCAGCTGCTCGTTAGCCGTTAGCTGAAGCCTCTAGTGTCTAATAAACCATGGTAGGCTAGTTGTTAGCATGTTAGTGGCGCTGGTTCACTCTAATCCATAGTTAGCTCAGCTGTTGCACTGGAACAATGAATTGTGGGTAGATTTAGTTAGCGTAGCGTAGCGTCAGTGGAAGCCAGCCACCAGGGGGCGGGGCTTCCTGCAGACGGGTTAAAGGGTGATGACGGCCATTTTTAATGTTTGTGTTTGTTTCTGCTCAGGTCAGAGGTCAGTCTAAGCCAGTAACCATGACAACCTGTAAGGTGGCCTGACCCCGCCTCCTGTTGCATGCTAATCCATTTATTGATTTATGACATTATCGACTGTGCTGGTTACCATAGTGACTGAATATGTGGATATGTTTGTTTCCATGTGATCAATATTATTGATTAAACTCATGTATTGATGATTGATTGATGTATTTGACAGGAATGACGTTTGATGTGATCAGTTTCTTAATGTTGGGTATTGATTTGTGATAATTATTTATCCTGTTTGATTCTCCACCGTCTGTTGGAGGAGACCACAGATGAAGCCGACGCCCACATACGGCGTCCACGGCCATATATGGTCGATGATTTGTAAGCAGACCTGTACAACAGGTAAAACTATATGAGTGGGCACTTATTGATCTCTGACTGTCAGTGTTATCATGGATTATCATTTTATTTAAAAAAATAAAAGCTCAACAGGTGTGTTTTCTTGGTTGGACTCACCTATTGTTGTGTATCGTCAAGTATGTTAAGTTTAGTTATGTTAAGTGTTTCATGTCTAGTCCTTCCTGTTTTATTTTGTACTCACCTTTTCCCTCACTATTCAAATCCTGACTTCCTCCCTTTGTGTGATTTTCCCGCCTTTGTAATTGTCTGCCCCGCCCCTGATTGCTTTCACCTGTTCTCACTTACACATGGTAGAAATATGCCTCGTCTCCCTTTGTCTTTGTCAGTTCTTCTTGTTCAGTAAGCCAGTGAGTATCATCAAGTGTTGTAGTTCAGAGTCCAGGTTATTTCATGTGTCAATTGACGTTTGACTTTTGTTAGCGCTTTAATATCCTCCTTGAGAGCGACTTTTGTTTCCATTTTGATATCCTCCTAGAGAGCGCCTTTTGTTGATAAATAAGTGACTGTATCAGGCTGACTGTGGAACTTTTTTAGTTCAGTGCGAGTTAGACTTCAAGCTCAACCCAACCTCAGTATTAAGTAGTCTTGACTTCCGGTGGCGATACTCTGCTGGCGACCTGGACTCGTGTGCTGCTGCTGGTGCTGCTGCTGCTGTTTTTTATTTATTTGTTGTTTTTACTCGTTTTACTGTGGTTTTTTATTGATTGTGTGAGGGTGTACGAGGGTACCAAGGAGCACCATGGCGTTATTTGCACAAGGACTATTACTGGCACTGATTGTTTGGGAGCTTCTGAGGATGTGTCAAACTTTTCCACGCTTGGAGGGTGGGCTACCACTCATCTACTCCAGAGACACGCTGTTGTCTCTCCACTACACAGGAACAACATCGCCGCCTGCGGATTTATTCAACCTGCTCGAGGCATTTAAAATCCTGTCATCTCGCAGAAAAATACGGAAGAGAGGCCGACGTGGGGGGTCCCGACAGCGTCTCCGCGGGAGAGGCAGTAGACCTCCGCTGCCCGGCATGATCTGAGCAATGTTCGCTCTCTTAGGAGCAAACTAGAGGAGCTCCGTACCAACATGGGGCGGGCTTGCTGGTATTTACTTGGCTCCACGCAAACATCCCCAACTCCCTGATCGAGCTGGAGGTTTTCTCCCTTGTCTTTACAGACAGGGATGAAACTTCGGGGTAGAGTCGAGGAGGAGGTATCTGCGTGTTTGTGAGCGACAGCTGGTGCAGGAACTATTCTGTGAGAGAGACTGTGTGCAGCCCTGATATTCAACTGCTGTGCATTTCTCTAAGACCCTTTTACCTCTCGAGGGAGTTTGGCAATATTGTTATTTGCTCAGCGTATGTGCCCCCCAGTGGTAATGCTGCCCGAGCTGCAGCTCGTGTTGCAGACTGTGTCCACAATCAACTGCAATGCACTCCGGGAGCCCCGGTCTTTATTCTTGGAGATTTTAACCACTGTTAAAATCTGTCCCTTCCTGGATTTGAACAATATGTCAAGTGTGGCACTCAAGACAATAGAGTGCTGGACAAATGTTATGGCAATATAAGAAATGCATACAGGGCCAGACCCAAGCCACCTCCGTCAAACTCAGACCATAATACAGTCCATCTGATATCCACCTATAAGACTTTTTTAAAGAGCAGTAAACCATTAACCAAGACACTGGCTGTATGGTCTAAAGACAGTATAGGGACACTGAAGGGCTCATTTCTCTGTACAGACTGGGACATTTTTCATGGTTTGGGTATCGATGAAGCCACTAACACTATTACAGAGTATATTAAATTCTGTGTGGATTGTGTGGCTACCAAGAAGGTTATTACAATCGATCCTAACAATAAGCCATACATCACCAGAGAGTTAAAGGACTGTATCAACCGGAAAAAAATGGCTTTTAGGAATCATGGCAGGATGGGGTTAAAATCAGTGCAAAGGTAGCTTAATCAGTCGTTAAGGGAGGCAAGAAAGAAACACAGTCATAGAACAAAATTTTGCTTCTATGGACTCTTCTCAAACTTAATGATTTCTTTCTCTGGTTTAAACTACAGGACTACTCTTTGAAATGCAATAATGTACT